TTTAAATCCATTTATTGACATCTTAAGTTTACGAACTATGAATTCTTTACCCTCTAATATGAAGTCTTCAAGTTGTTCCATATGAACTTCCTCTTATAAACTCCTATTCATAAAAATTGTATTCATATCCATTTGATGTAACTCTAAATCATAATAAGCTACTAATGCCATGATATTTTAAAAAATTCCTTCTTAAATATTAGAGAGAATGTTTCTTTATAATTTCTTCATTCATGACACTGATCCATTTAGTAAAATCATTACTATTAATGGCTTATGAATATGTAATCAGATCTGTATATATCTCACTATATATCAAAATCAGATTCTTGCAGATATATCACATAGTCATCCGGAATAGCAGATCTCCTTTCTCTTTGAGATCGTCTTAATGTTATTCCTTATGATTCTTCTACAATTTATTCATTGGTGACAATCTCATTATAGAGTTGTTGATCATTTAATTGTTCTTCGCTGTTATACGGTTCAACAACTGAAGGAACAATTATTTCCTTATAAGTTATGGGTAAAGATATTTGTACCCTAACTTCTGAAATGATCAAATTCTTATTTTTATCACTCCCACTGATTTCACTATTCTTAATGAATCTGACATTATCGGTTTCAATAATTATCGTACTATGTTTCGGATAGTAAAACTTGTACACTTTAAATTACTTAATATCCACAACATTATGGGTAACGAGGAATTACTTAACATACTCCTAATCAATTCTATAAGAGTACGATTACGCCTTACAACTACACGCTTCTGCTGTGACATGTATAGCAAAGTGTATTGAACACAAATGGCATACATTTCAAGGAGTTTAACAAACGGTTAGAGTATTAACCTGTTTCATCATACTTTACATAATATTCACCACCTCTATATAACCTTATGATTTTCATTTTCTATCTAGTTGTTTTTCAACCTCATTTATGTATACTTCAAGAGTACCCACTACTTGAGATTTTTCATACAACAAATAGATTATCTATAACGTGAAAAATCAACTATAAAGGCGATAACATACTTTTCTCCTCCAAAAGATGGAACATCAGAAGGTCTACAAATAATTTCAAGAAGCTATGTACTTATTGTGACTCATTTCTTTGTGTGTTTAGTTTGTCTATCCTTAATACAATCTACACACACATCAAAATAAGTAAAGTTTAGATTCAGAATAATCACATCATTTACTAATTTTCTTAACCTTTCACTAGATATTGACCTAATCTTTTATGCCAAAGATAAATTTTCTATTAATTGAGTTACGTTTAATTATAACATTATGATACAAGATCAAAAGGATTTTAATAAATAAACCATCAAATTTGAATTTACAGAAATCATCAAAAATAATACCATAACTCACAAATTATAATTTCTTAAATAAATATCATTACCAAATTTAAATGAAAAACCATTAACATAAAGTTTTTGAAATAAAATCATATTATGGGAAATTGAATAAACATAAAAAATTTAAAATAATTTAAATAAAATCCATTGTCTAACATTAAACATAGTGTCACAATGGTTTCAACAAAACTTTTTCCCAATTATCATAAATAAGAAATTCTTATTTGAATTTGTGGTTTAGGCCATAAATAATTCTTGCATCTATTAGAAATATAAATATTAGTACTTAAGTCAACCTATCATGTATTAAAAAGAATTTCAACAAGTAATTCGCAATATACAAAAGCCAAAAGCATACTTTTCTTTTTTGAATCATTCTTTATATGTCATGTAATCTTTCTAAAAGTGTTCAATACATTAATGACACTTTTTCATTATTACATTACTTTCTTTTAGTAGATTGACCTAAATCTTTTAATTTTGGGTGTTGCTCACTTATTACCTTTCTGACTTATTCCCAAATTTCTTTCTAACTTCTTGAGTCATCAGATGAACATAATGATTACCTTGCTACTTAAGTTTGGTCTCCTCATAAATTAACATAATGGTCAATTAAATCACTTTCCACTTGTCTTAATAGTGTTAATTCGAAATGACCCATACTGAATAGACAAGAAATTGAGAATAAATTGAATAAGAAAATTCCCATTCACAATCATCCATAAGGTTCTCAATTTTGCAGCAACATTAGTCATCTAAAAATACGATCATACATGGTACGAGTACCAACAAAAAATCCATAGTAGTTATATCAATTAATAATTTTCGTTTTAGATATTTATTTACAACACGAAAACATTCTTATAATCAAATATTCCTTAACACTATCACTATGAGGAACAATTATTCGCATAACCATAATACTTAATCTGTTCAATCTCTCCCAAGCTTTGTGGAGAATCTTTTCTTCCTCACTATTTTTATCAATAATAACAGTAAGTTTCTCAATTTAAAATATTAAATTAAGATTTAACACATCTAAATTTTGAACTCAACTTACTCATTTCATTATGAGAAGTTAGTCATATTGAGAATCAGAACAGATGTAGCATGCACATTAAGGGATGTAATAAAACAAATATAATAAGATAAAATCTTAACAACAGTAATGCTTTGAGTTAACAACACGTATGTATAACTTAAAAATATAAATACAATGTATAACTATAGTACCCCTTTGGGTGACAACTATAAAATACTAATAATGATGCTTACAAGTATTTATATGTATACCTTTATTGGTGATGCATTATTTAATTAAACAAATAAGTTACCTTTGAATATCCTATATTTACCTAATTTAAAAAAAAACATACAACCCTTTAATTTTTATTTAATCACTTGAAAATCAATTCCCTTTCAGGAATTATTTCTCGTAATTAAATAAAATCAATATTCATGAATATCACAAAAAATTATAAGCATCATAATTCATGAAATATTGCAATTATGTTTACTACTAAAATTAATAATCATCAACTATTATGGTTAGGCCACTTTGGTAACTACTAACCCACACATAATATGAATATTCAATTAACTAGTAATTAATTAATTATTAATTTACCCATTTAACATTATACACACATTCTCATAATTGTCGATTAAAGTTTAAACAGCTTCGATCTCAAAAACTTAATAGTCCGAAATTTCATAGAAAATATCTTTTTATTTTATATACATAATAAAATATATTATTTTATTTTCGGACTTAAAGATCATAATTGAATCAATTTAAAATTGATTCTACAATATGTATGTATGTTTGGGTACGAAACAACAAGTTATTTGCACGTCTAATTTATTAGATTAAATTTATAAACTCACAAATTATTCTAGAAATTCAAATTCTTAAAATAAATAAATCAATACATATATTTATATATTCAATAACTTTAATTTTAATTTATTTTAAATTAAAATCAGAATCTTCAAATCATTGGACAAATACTTATAACAATAATTTAAACCTCTTTAATAAAATAAATAAATACACAAACTTTATGTATTTATTAATTTTTAAATAATAATAATAATAATGAGTCTTTGTAATCCTTTCACAACTGACTGTTTCTATAAAACAATAGCAAGACAAATGCTATTATTATTATTATTATTTTAATTCAAAGTTCTTTATTAGTCATGCACGAAAATCAGTAACCTAAAGCATTGAAGTTGTTTGTCTTACACACATTATGCATACGTTTGTACTATTACACATATGTAAACTATGTATCAGTAACCAACTTTCATAATTTAATTTTGGCTTGGAAATTGAGGTACCCAAACCCAAAAACTACACGAACTGATCTAAACATACGATTCTAAAAGAATGGATTATACAATCATTTAATTTTAAATTTATACACATTATTTATGCAACTTTAATGAAAAATAATGAGTTCCTAAACCGTTAGTTCTGATACCACATGTACACTATAATAATTCGTGTTAAGCCATTAATCACAAATTTACACGAATCACATATCTTAGAACTTCATGATTTTCACATATCTATAATGCATAAATAAATACTAGTTAGATATAAATACCTCGATTCACGATATCAATTCTTGTTGAGATTAAGTCCAACGTCCAGATCCTTTGGCCACGAGCTAATCTGCAATTCTGATCAACAGGCAAAGGTGGAAACTGGTTTATCTCTCTTGACCTTTTGCATACATAAAACTTTTACGTGTTGTTTCATTAATTGTACATAATTGATGGAGTATATGCACTTTTATAAAGGTAGAGAGATGACCAGTTTTCCTTATAGGAATATAATTTTGCTTTCCATCAAAGTAAGGAATAAGAAAGGAAAACACTTTTCCAATAAGTAATTACCAAAAAGGTAATTATAAGTTGACCAAAAATAAATAATATTAATTGATATCTATTTACTTACCCACTAAGTAATATGTCACATGTCCAAATCATGTGAGCCACAATTAAATAAATAATCTTATAATGGATACATAATACGTCCATAATATAAACATGGACACAGAATACAGACATAATATGATACAAATATGTCGATAAGTACGTTAAATTTTAAAAAAATAAAATATGAATATAACGTAGACATAATTATATATAAATATAAATATTTATTTTTATATATCTATTGAGTAATAATATTATAAAATTTAAATTTATTTTTTATTTTTATATTAAAAGTTGCTCTGAAATGATTGATAAAGTAAAACCATTTCATTATTATTATGAGTTTTATATCATATATTTTATTATTCCACACAATAATATTTTTGTTTTAAATAAATAAGTATTGTTTTATGTTTTAAATAAATAAGTTTAATATTTTAGATGTATTCATATTATTTTTAAAATTATGAAGTTGAAAGGTGGTCGACTGTGTGAAAAGTGTTTAAAATAATAAAATTTAATTTTTATTTATGAATATCGTGTTAAAATAACGGTCATATACAATCTCTCTAGAACTTTTCTTTTTGGACGGCGTAAAGTTAGACGGAACAAAGCCAAATGGTACCAGTACCACATATAAGTCCACAACTTCACACTCAAGTGACGACTTTTCCTAAAAAAAAAACATAAAAAAGAAATGGACAGGAGGCGGAGGGTTATAGTTTAACAATTAACAAACCAATGTTATACCTACAAAAATGAAAGAAAAAAAAAAAAAAACACAAACTAAACGTCATAATCATCAGTCTCACACCAGATATTTTAGGAGCCACCACCCTTCACGGATTAGGTTCAGTGCCCTCTTCTTCTTCTCCTCAGGTAAGGATACATTTTCTTCATCCTTCAACTGCTCTTTGTTACAATCTTGTTTAGTTGTTTATGGATTTCTATGCTGCTTCTAGTTGAATTCTCTCTCTTCTAACTCATTGGCTTCTGTCTCATTTCCAACCCATTCTAGTATCATTTCACTAAGCAATTCCAAAACATTTCTGGTTACATTTCTGGGTTTTTGTTCTTTTTGTAAAACTTTTCTGGGTTTTTGTTCTTTTTATTTTTCTGTGTTTCATTATCTTCTTGATTGTTAGAGTATTGTTATTGATATTAGAGTTATGTTATTCCGATTTTTGTCTCTCAGTTGTTCTTCCCTCCCCACTCTAATTTCTATTTTTGTTGATTTGGTTTAGGTGTTTTTAACATGTACAGATGGATCTAGGGTTTAGTGTTTCGATGCCTAATTCAATATGCGTTTTGTAAAATCTTGGTTGTCATTGGGTCACTAAACTAGGTTCATAGTGGTAGGTGGTCAATTTTTTACTGGAATTTGATTAATTAGGATTAAACTTATTGAGGGTGATTTTTGATTTAATATTGCCATAGATTTTCTAAAACATTTATGTGTTTTTGTACTTTTTTTTTTCTTTCTTTCTTTCGTGTGTGTGTGTGTGTGTGTGTGTGTGTGTGTGTGTGTGATTATCTTCTTGATGGTTAAAGTATTGTTATTGATATTAAAGTTTATGTTATTCTGATTTAAGTCTCTCAGTTGTTCTTTCCTTTCCACTCTAATTCTTGTCTTTGCTGATTTGGTTTAGGTGTTTTTTTACATGAACGGATGGATCTAGGCTTTAGAAATATGGGTTTAGTGTTTTGATGCCTAATTCAATAAGCGTTCTGTAAATTCTGGGTTGTCATTGGGTCACTAAACTAGGTTCATTGAGGCTGGTGGTTGATTTTTTACTAGAATTTGGTTAATTAGGATTAAACTTTTTGAGGGTGATTTTTTATTTGGTATTGCCATAGATAGTTATGGATCCACGTTTCAGTGATTTGGCCGATTTGATGAATGATTACAAATTTGGGGAGGAGACTGTTTTACCCGGTTTTGATCAGTCCCAAAATCTTGCTGATGGATTTAACCTCAAAGATGAATCTCTGGATTTTGGTTTCATGGATATTCCTTTCCTTCCTCCCACTCCAGACCCTCGTAATTTAGCTCCATCTTCAAGCGTGAGCTCGGAAGTGGAGTCTCCTGATGACCATGACCTTTCCGATACAGTTCTCAAGTACATTAACCAGATACTCATGGAGGAGGACATGGAGGAGAAGCCCAGCATGTTTCACGATCCTTTGGCTCTGCAAGCTGCTGAGAAATCATTTTATGAAATGATAGGCGAGAAGTACACTTCTTCTCCTGACCAACCCTCTTTTTACTTTAATCAAAACATTGAAAGCCCAGATGATCATTTCTTTGGAAGTTTCAGCGAGCATAGTACAGCCAGCAGTACTAGTGCTGGCAACTCTAACGATACTCGACGGATTGTTGATCGTGGAGAGTATAAGTCGTCAGTTATACAAAGTCATACATGGGAGAGCTCTTTCCAATCAACTTTGCAGCCCAGTTCGCTGTGGTCATTTGACTCTACAAACAGCTTCATCAATGATTTTAATGGCCCAGTGGACTCTTCAGTCAGTACGCAACTGGTTTCAGATATGTTTAGTGATAGTGAATCAGTCTTACAGTTCAAGAGAGGCATGGAAGAAGCTAGTAAGTTCCTTCCTAGTGGTAATCAATTAATTGTTAATTTGGAGAACTATTCATTGCCTCCAAAATCAAAACAAGAGGCTCCGGGGGTTGTAATCAAGGTAGAGAAGGACGAGAAAGAGTACTCACCTAATGGCTCAAGGGGAAAGAAGAACCATCACCGGGAGGATAGTGAAATGGAAGAAGAGAGGAATAGCAAGCAGTCGGCAGTTTATGTTGAAGAGTCTGAGTTGTCAGAGATGTTTGATAGAGTTTTGCTTTTCACTAATGCAAAAGGGGAGCTTGCTTATTGTACTGCTCCTGATGAAGAACTGCAGAATGGAACGAGCAAGGTTTTGCAGCGGAATAGACAACCTCATGGATCTTCTGGAAGAAAAAGTGATGCTAAGAAACAGGCCAATGAAAGTGGAGTAGTGGATTTGAGGACTCTTTTGATTAACTGTGCACAATCTGTTGCTGTTGATGATCGCAGAACTGCATATGAACAACTAAAGCACATAAGGCAGCACTCTTCTTCTTCTGGTAATGGGACACAGAGGTTGGCCCACTTCTTTGCAAACAGTCTCGAGGCACGCTTATCTGGCACTGGATTCCAGATCTATGCAGCCCTAGGTTCCAAGAGAAATTCAGCTGCCGAGAAGTTGAAAGCTTACCAGCTTTATCTTTCAGCCTGCCCATTCAAGAAGATGGCGATATCCTTTGCAGATAGAATGATTTTGGATCTAGCTTCAGTGGCTACAAAAAGAACAATACATGTTGTTGATTTCGGTATCCTATATGGTTTCCAATGGCCACTCCTAATCCAACATCTGCCAACCATACCTGGTGGGCCTCCCAAGCTTCGAATTACTGGGATAGAGTTTCCCCAACCTGGTTTCCGGCCATCAGAATTAGTTGAGGAAACAGGCCGTCGCTTGGCAAAGTATTGTGAGCGCTTTAATGTTCCTTTTGAGTACAATGCCATAGCACAAAAATGGGAAACTATTAAAATTGAGGACCTCAAGATTGACAACAATGAGTTGCTTGCTGTCAACTGTCTTTATCGGTTTAAGAACCTACTCGATGAGACTGTTGTGGTGGACAGTCCTAGGGATTCTGTTCTGAAGTTAATCAGGAAGATGAATCCTGACATTTTCATCCATTCTGTTGTTAATGGATCCTACAGTGCTCCCTTCTTTGTTACGCGGTTCCGAGAGACACTCTTCCACTACTCTGCATGGTTTGATATGTTTGATAATAACATGAATCGTGATGATCAGGAGAGGTTGAATCTTGAGAAAGAGTTCTATGGACGTGATGTAATGAATGTCGTTGCATGTGAGGGCTCGCAGAGGGTTGAGAGGCCCGAGTCATACAAACAGTGGCAGATTCGCAACATGAGGGCTGGCTTCAAGCTCCTCCCATTGAACAAGGAGGTTGTAAAGAAATTGAGGGGTAAGGTGAAGGCAGGATATCACAAAGAGTTTGTGGTTGATGAAGACGGTCACTGGATGGTGCAAGGATGGAAGGGTCGGATTCTTTGTGCTAGCTCATGTTGGGTACCTCGGTAGAAGTGATTAAAGGGATTATGTTAGAACCTGATCAAGGTGAGCCGGCTGGATATCTAATGATGCGGGGAAAGATACGTATGAGTTTCTCTCTCTCTCTCTCACACACAGTAGCATGTATGGATGTTTGTAGATATGTGCATCTTAGTTAAGTATATATACTGTATCTGTATTATATAATAATAGTTCTGCCCAACACATGCGCATTTTTTAGTTTTAATCTAAAATATTCACCTTAATTCTGGCTGGTAGTGAGTGTTTCTCACCTTGTAAATTAAGGAGCTAAAATTGCAGGGTTTTTTAAGAATCAGATCATCTTCAGTAGCATTTACTTTCTTGAAGAAGAAACTCGTGGATAACGAGGAGGAAGATAGGTTGAAACCATTGAACACCATTTTAGCCATATAGTTTGAGTGCTGTAGTTGGCAATGGCTAGTCGATAGATTTGAAGGCTGAATGCTTAGTCCTTTTGCTCTGAAGAATCATAGTCTATAAACATGGTTGAGAATTATGGATAATGTGATGTAAATTAGAAGCCCTGTTATGTTTTTTTTTTTAATTTTTATAACCTAAGCCCTGTTATGTTGATAAAGATGTATTAAACTGTCATGCTTGTTTGCTTAACAGCATGTTTTGCTACTAAATCGTGTGCTTCCTTTCCTTAATTTTCTCCATTGATGGTTTAGAATAGCACGGCGTTGTTGCGCGTCTGCTTCTTGCTTGCAAATTTTCTCATCAGCGGTGTGTTTGTTGGATAGATTTATCCATGGAAGTGTAAAACTCAGAAATCTTTTTGTCTCACCTCCTTGTTTCCCAGATTTATTTTATGGTGCTATAATTCACATCTTGCCCTTATATATCATTTGCATCTTAACTTTGAATGGCAGCTTGAATTATGTGTTAGAAGCACAAGTGCAGGTGCTAAAAATAAGTAAATAGTACCACTAATATTATTTTATGGTCTCTGTGTCACTCTGTGTAATTATAGGGCCAAATGTCAGGGCTTACTTGGTAAAGTCACAAAATTGTACTAAAATCAATAAAATACAGTTTTTGATAATTGTTTTCTGAAAACTCAATTAATAAAATTTTTGTTTTCAGATAACTATTTTCTATAGTTAAAACAGTTTTTTTGTCCAAATATGCAGAAAAATATAGTTGAATATTGTAATTTTTTTACTGTTTCAGATTTTTTTTATTTTTTTTCTTAGTTGGTACCTAGGAAGCATAGATACGGATACGAGATATGGATATGACACGATACCGGTAGAGCCATAGGGCAAATCTAAAAAAAATAGGAAACGGTTAAGGAGGATGCGGCAATAAAAAGTTAATAAATTTTATTTATATATATATATAAATTAATTTGGTCAATTTTTTAAAAGTGTTATGAATCCAAATGCAATTATTAATATAATATATAAATTCATTTCATAACACATCAAACAAGCATCCTTAATAATCACTTAATAAAATTTGAACTCCTTCCTTTTTTTTTTTTCTTTTTTTTTTTATATATATAAAAAAAAACAATTATACTATGTTATTATTGTTGAAAAAGTTGAATTTGAATGTTCAAACTTGTTAAAAATGCGTTACGAAGTATCCAAGAAGTGTCGGATATTCAGTCGAAATACTTAAAAAGTATCTGATACATATTAGAAATTTTAAATTTTTTATAAAAATTATGGATACGTCTAAGAAGTATCAGACACGTATCCGCAAGTATTCGTAAAGTATTGGTTCCCGACACGTATTTGATACAGGTACGTTGCTCTCCGAGAAGTATCGTGCTTCCTAAGTTAGTAACACACACATACTTTCATTGGAGCTTAAACTTTTTACCTCTCTTTCAAAAGTAAGAACCTAATAATTATTTTCAATAGTTAAAACATTAAAACTCCCACCACAATTTTTTCACAGAAATATTTGAGCCTTATGCTTCGTTTGTTTCGACGTAAAATATTTTTTTTGAAAAATATATATTTTTTAAAATAAAATATTTTTTTATTTTTACTTTGTCGGTATTTGGCAAAAATCTACTCCGAGATTAAGGTCGATTTTATCGGGCCAGACATGTAAAATAACTTGCCGAAATTTGATAAATAAGTTATTTTTATTAAATTTTAATATTTTTTTTCTTTGTAAATTTTTTGTGATAACCAAACACCCAAAAAATATATATATATATTTTTTGTAAAACATTTAATATCCAAACAAATGGAGCTTTAATGTGATTTTATGTCCAAATATGCAGAAAAATATAGTTGAATATTGAATTTATGAAGCAAATTGCTCACTTAGTGCCAATATATAGAATATTTTTAAAAAACAGTACCTAAACTTGGACTTGTAGAAAAAGCCGAGACTCTGAGGTTGCTGAAATTTAACCCAGTGCGATAAGCCAACAAAAGACAACCCTAACAAGTTTCATCTGTCCTAAAGTGAATACCCATTTGGTACATTCTCTCTCTTCATGAATCACAAGAAATCATAACATCAGAATACAAATTTCTACCCATTTTGGTACTTGCATTTTGAATTTTACTGGTTTTGATTATCTAGAACATTGTAAGGGTTCTTTATATTTATACTTTGATTAAATACAATAAAAGGGATGATATCAAAATACAGAGTAAAAATGAAAGATGAGTAACCTTTTTCTTCTTCTTTTTGGCGTGGAAGATCCTCCTTTTTATAGCCTCTTCCTCCTTCACTTCCAGGCTCTCGAGAACTTTAGTGCTAGATCCGTTAGGATAGTCATGATGACTCTATAAAGTCATATAGGGCTACGATGGTCCTTTTGTCCAAAAGATGCTACTGTCGCATTGAATGCACATCCCTTTGAAAGCGGCGGTAGCTGGAAGCAATAAATGTGATTATAAGTGTTGCAGGGGAACACGTGGGTCACCAGGCTCGTCTTCGAGACACCTCAACCATGATCTTTGCCCTCGAGCAAAAACAGGGTGCTGAGACTTGCGTGATAACTGTGTATTTGTTTACGCCCTGTGATGCCATGTGTCAACGTAGGATACATCCCCTACATTTAGTCCCCTTGTGCGCGTGCGCTGCTAGGTGGCGGGGGGTGCGTGCATAAGTTGAAGAGGCAGTTTCACAGAATCTGTAAAGGCATGATAGTGACCAACGACGTGCATTGTGAAAAATCATCATGGTGCGTCGGTTTGCGTATCAGTGTAGGACCCATTATAAGAAGCTTGGAAGCGTATGGTTTGAGAGTGCAAGTCTGTGTGGGTGTATCTGAAATTGTACATTAGTGTGTGTGAGGGAAAAAAATTCAGAGGCATAAGTTTGCTGATAAAGACTTAGAAAAGCGGTGGACTTCCGTGAGCGGTGGACTTTTGTGTTTTTGTTGAGAGAAAATGCCGCCAAGGAGTAAGAAGGATGAACCACCACCGGGGGTTCCGCCGGAGACAGAGTGGTATCGAGCACCATTTTTTGGTGAGCAGGATTTCTTCTGGTATCGTTCGGAGCGTTTCGTGGAAGAAGGTGGCTCATCTTCGGCAGCGGTGGCAATGGGAAGCAATAAATGTGATTATAAATGTTGCAGGGGAACACGTGGGTGTACGCACAAATTTTGTAAGTCTGCAAATAGAAACAAAATATGGAGCAAATAGTAATTTATTACTTTGAAAAATTTGAGTACAATCCTTTGTGATATCTTTTACAAAAAAAATGGTCCTCTGATTCGATTTCTTTTTTGTTGTTGGTTAGATCCAAGGGCTGCACGAGCTTGTTCTTGAATCACCGTGAAATTTGATAAAGAACGACATGTCGTTGGATGTGCTTGTTGTTGATCAACATGGAATTTGATGAAGAACGGCACGTCGTTGAATGTGCTTGTTGTTGATCACCATGAAATTTGATGAAGAACGGCACGACTTTGAATGTGCTTGATGTTCTTCGCTTTTGGGTTTGGATTCTGAATTTGTCTCTGACTTCTGAGTTTCTGGATTTCTAGACTTCTGAATTCTGAATTTGTGTCCTTTGTTTCTGGACTTCTGAATTCTGAATTTGTGTCTGAATTTCTGAACTTCTAAATTTTGAATTTGTGTCCTTTGTTAAATTTGAGGAAGAACGGCACGTCTTTGGATGTGCTTGTTATTCTTCGTCTTCAGAGAGGAGAGAATTTGTTGAATTTGGTGAAGAACGACACGACTTTGGATGTGCTTGGTATTCTTCGCCTTCAGGTTTGCCCTCGGGATTTCTGGCCCTCTGGATTTCTGATTCTCTCAATTTCTGGACCTTCTGGATTTCTGGACTCTTGATTTTTCTCCCCTCCTTCCTCCAGGCCTCTATTTATAGGCTTATTGGGTTGATAGGATGATGACACGTGTTATCTCTTGATAAGAATAAAGTCATAACTGTGCCGGGCTGGTTATATTATGATAATTATCCCTAAATATAATTATTCAAAATATATTTTATTAGGAATAATTATCTTTTCATTTAATCATCTGGGCTGGGCTAATTAAATAATTTAAATGGACTAAGCTTGTCAATTAAATAACTTAATTAAATATTAGACCTATATTTAATAGGTCTATTTGTCAAAATAATATTTTTATGGTACAGATGTTTTTTTACGTGACGAACAAGATTGAAATGATCCAAAGTATGATGATATCACACTGAATATTAATTCACCAAAAGTGGGTCCTCGGTATATCATCAACTAGAGCAGCCCACCATAATAGTGTTCTGTATTATTGCTTAATTTCTCTTTTCAAAAGTTTCGAAATAATTTAGATAAAATATTAGGGGACAAAAAGTTTTAAATAATTATAAATCTCCATTTAATCTCTTCAGCCATTAGTTTGGTGTGTTTAAAATCACACTTGGGAAAATGTCAACCATTTGCTAATAAAAAAATAACATTAATTTAGATGATAAGACCTTTCATTTTTTTTTTCAAAATGTTACATTATCGATTTGATTTGACTTTGTAAAGTCTGATAAGTAGTTAATGGACTCCAAATTAGAAACACGGTGAATTAAATAAATCCACTAAGCTAATTAGGGGTGTCAAAAATCAATTTTGTTGAGACGAGTGAAGTGCCAAAATAAAAAAATAAAAAGCTCATGATAAATAAAAAGTGTGTAAAAAACATCTACGCTGTTATCTTGTGCATACAAATCCATATCATTGAAAAATATATGCAGATTCCCTTCTAATATCAATAGACCATCAATTTGACAATTTTTTTTATAAAAATTCCAAAATACCCTTAGAATACCTTTAAAAACTGAAATCAGTTTTTTAAAATTTTATTTGGATAATGCTTTAGTCCTGTTTCATCAAGATAGATTATGTCCTGCACACTAACGTGTCCCAATAAGAGGTTGACACTTCTTTAAATTAAAAAAAAAACAAAGAAAAAAAAAAAAAGAACAAACATGGGTTATACCCATTTTTTAGGGTTAAACCCGACAAATATATATATATATATATATATATATATATATATATATATTTCTCTCTTTGCTCTTATCTATGTATATCACTCTGTCATCCACATCTTTCTTTTCCCTTACCTTCGGCTGCTAATCATTCCAAATCCTAATATTTCCTACTAGACCTCCACTTTTTAGAATAATAAAAATTCTTTTAATTCTGAAATAGTTCTAGGCAGTTTTTTAGAATCCT